CAGGGTACTAGGTAGCTGAGCTCTGCAATCGTGTTAACGCGGAGGTCATTCCCTACAAAAAATGTTTCAATGCCTAGTTGTAGGCGGTCCGTGTACCGGTTGGGCTCTGCATCAATGGATTTGGTTCACTAGGACAGAAAGCGAATTTCCGCTTTCGCACGCGAAACATTTTCGCTGCAAGAACCCCATGATCAGCGGTGGACCTGAGGTTCCCGCAGCGAAAAAAGTTTCGCGCTGCGAAAAGCGGAAAATTCGCTTTCTGTCCTAGTGAACCACACCCTGCATCATGGGGCTTCCGCGGAAGCTATTCCGGTTACTCAAGCTATTCGCATAGATTCATCGCATCTTTTCTTCATAAACTTGGAAGTGTGCTAGGTTAGATTTCATAACGCTTGAAGTGCAGTTCTGTGCACATTTGCGTGATTTTCATGCCCAAAAAATTGAGGGATTGCTCAATGTGGGGAATAGTTTACAGCCGTCATATCAAAGTTCATGGTAAGCACGCTTACCAACAGACATTGGTAACCCAATCTGAAATGGCTATCGGTTCAGCTAGTGTATCAAGAGTTATTGGCCATAATATTCGGGCAAGTTATTAACAATTTTTATTTACGCTAATTTGCTTTGGCGAAAATTTCCAAGTGAGCGGCGTGATGATCTGCTAATTGCAAGATGTGTAGAGTAGTGAAACGCTTTCAAATTAGGTTGCTTCCGAGTTTCAGCAGTCTTTGCTCGTATGTGAATCAAGATCGATGCAGTGTCACTTTCAGGGCCCACTCGGCCATAGTTAATCTATATTTCTGCATTCACTGCCCTATTCATGTTCAGGGATCCAAGAAGTGGTGTAGTTTTGCTAGAAACAGAGATACCTTATTGAAGTTGATCTGCACGGGAATCATGTATTCTTCCCGTAATTCATCTTTTTGGGCATTTTTGCTCTAATTTATTGTCGCCCTATTCAGGTGCTTTCTGGAGATGCCGTAGTTTTACAAGGTCAACCCACAAATGGTCCTCCACCGGAGACTACCGTCTACCTTAGTAACGTGGTTGCTCCAAGACTTGGTAAACGTCCAACGGAAACCACTGCGGCAACTGTTGATGAGGTATTTCAGTATTTTTTATCTGGCTTTGGTGTGCTTGTTGTTATCTCAGTATCGAGTCCTGCGGGAAAAGCTACTTCGAATCATGCGTTTTCTATCACTTTATCTTTTCTTTTAAGCCTTTTGCTTGGGAATCGCGTGCGCTTTCTCGAAAGAAATCGTGGTCCGATGGTGACTTTGTCAAGGATACACTGCTGCATCGGACGTGATTCACTGGCAAGAATCTCCCTCGGAAGGAAACGATTGTGTTCTTCCCGTCATATCACTTTTAATATGCGCTAGGTTTCGCTAATCTTCGCAATTTTCTGTTTCAATTTCGATACCATTTATTTGTACCGATCTAATTAGGAACGTTTCTACGACTTTTTTAGGTCCTGAAAACGCTGAAAACGTCACTGAAACAGCGGTGGCAGAAGGTTGGGTTGAGGTTAGACCAGGGAAGATAGCGGAGTGAGTTTTGGAACATTTGTCCTTGCCTTTTAACACCTTGGAGCCCACGCAGCCCATATGTGGGCTGCAGTCCTCCGACCGCATAGGACCTTTCAGCTCGCATTTCGTAAACAATTATTAGGTTTTTCATTCATTTTCTTTTCCATTTTATCCGATAAGATTTCTTCTGCATTATACAGTGGGTTCTTCTTTTGAATTTGGTAGATATGATACCTAAAAATTTCACCGAAGGCCCGCGCCGCACGGAACGTAAAACGCGCGGTCTCCAAAGTGTAAGTGATCGTAATCTTTAATTTTCAACTGCATTGGCTTTTTAGTGAATACGTCACGAAGTTGCTAGAATTACAAGATCAAGCTAAAGCTGCTGGAAAGGGTAAATGGGGTAGTTCGAGCGATGCCATTCGAGAGGTGAAATGGGTCATCGAAAATCCCAGGCAGTTGGTGGATCAAATACAAGCAAAAACCAGTGGATGCTGTTGTTGAAATGGTTGGTGTTTAATACGTTCTTTTCCAGACCCTCAAAACGTTGCCTTAATTTTATTGTGCAGAGTTTTAGTTTTTCGCTCCTGATCCCTTAAATATGGAAAAGTATTAATAATCTATGCTGCATAGATTGCGTTGTGTGGTCTTCACTTCACTCACTGTTGTAATTCTTTTATCCCCTAATCCTGCATTCCCAAATGCCAGCTAAGATTCTTAAATGAATATAAACATAGCTAATGCCAGAATTACGCGATTGAAAATGTTAACCCTCATGCTTAATCCTTCAATGGTACTTATCATGAACTTCAGGAGATTTGCTTCATATATGTCATTTCAGGCGTCGAGACTGGTTCAACATACGAGTAATCGCCTACTACCTTTGTTTCAGCCTTTGAGTACATTCACTCTGCAACTGTCAGGAAGTGCGCGCCCCAGTCAACGACTGCTGGAACTGGACGGTAAAGCTGAGCAGTTCGCCGAGGAGGCTAAATACTTTGTCGAGCAAAGGCTTCTGCAGCAGGACGTAAAGGTGTGCCATTCTATCCAATATCACTTTTTTGGACGTTTTTGTCGCATGTCCCTTTAGAATTCTACCTGAGGGTAACCCCTTTAGGTTGTCCTCGAGTCAACGTCTAATCAGAATCTTGTCGGCTCAGTTCTTCACCCTAAAGGCAACATAGCCGAGTCGCTGTTGCGTGAGGGCTATGCGAAGTGTGTCGATTGGAGCATCGGGCTGTGTACCGGTGGCGCAGAAAAGCTTCGTGCGGCTGAAAAGTTCGTAGCAATTCTTCTTTTTTTGTTGCTCTTTACCCGCATGTTTGACAATATCTAAGCTCGTTTATATACAGGTTAGCCAAAGACAAGAAGCTGCGGCTATGGCGAACATATCAACCCTCAGCTGCAAGTGCTCTTACTGGGGATAAGAAGACCTTCTCTGGAAAAGTTGTTGAGATCGTCATGTCTGACGCTATGGTAGTACGAAAAGCTGATGGCTCAGAAGTTAAGATTCACCTCGCATCTGTGAGGTTGCCAAGGTCAGTATTCTGCGACTTTCTCAAGCTGCCTATGCGATATGTATCTTTTTTTCATCAACACTACCTTTAAAGATTGTTTTTTGTAGGTTCTCCTTGATTTCCGCATAATGCTATTTTCAGGGATTCTGACGAGAAGCCATCCGTCGGAAGACAATTCCGTCCTCTTTACGATATCCCATTCATGTTCCAAGCGAGAGAGTTTCTCAGGAAAAGGTGATTTCAATCATCCGCTGCTCACATCGCTCCTATAACGAAATAAACTGTTTCTTTCAGATTGATCGGTAAAACTGTCACAGTGACAGTAGATTACATTCAGCCTAAGTCTGAGCAATTCCCTGAGAAAACTTGCTGCACAGTGAAAGTTGGAGAACTTAACATTGCGGAGGCTTTGATTATGAAGGGACTCAGCAAAGTTGTACGACATCGGTCAGACGACGAGAATAGGTGAATACTCTTATTGATAAGTCCACAGATTAGTCATTTACTCTTGCGTTTTTCTAGATCATCTGAATACGATGCATTGTTGGCCGCAGAGGCAAATGCGGAGAAGAGCAAGAAGGGTCTGTTTGCGGACAAGAGTGCCGACAAAAAGGATACTCTGCGCATTCAAGAACTCCAAGGAGATCTAGCCAGAAGCAAGCAATTCCTACCGTATTTGCAAAGGAGCACGCGGTTAGTTTCCGGAATTCAACTGCCTATTCGAATTCTGACGTCGTAGCATTAAATTACGGAAATTTTTAGGGCAGAAGGTGTCGTCGAGTTCATTGCGAGCGGATCGCGACTGAGGATTTACATCCCCAAAGAGACTGTGGTCATTACGTTCCTCCTTGGTGGAATTAATTGTCCCAAGGTGCGTTTGAATGCACGCTTTCTTTCAGCCATTGCAAAGGTAGAGTATTTTAGAGTGGTCGACCTGGACCTGGAGGTGTGACTGGACCTTCGGAACCATTCGCTGAAGAGGCTGCTGCTTTCACTCGTCGACTAGTTCTCCAGCATGAAGTGGAAATTGAAGTTGAAGGGTTGGACAAGATGGGAAACTTCATCGGATACCTATTCCTTACTCCCGAGGGAGGAGGCAAGCCACAAAACCTTTCTGAAGTGCTTCTTGAGCAGGGACTGGCAACGTTGCATTTCACCGCGGAGAGAAGTGTTCATTACAATCAGCTGGTCATAGCGGAACAGCGTGCTAAAACTGCTAAGTAGGTTTTTTCCCATTGTTATTTTATTGGTTCACCTTTAACGGTTAATTATCAAAATGTTCAGGAGAAACATATGGCAGAATTATAAGGAGGAAGAGGTTGTTCCTGACGAGGTCATATCTCAGCAGAATGATACAGCAGAGAGACGTGTTCAATACAAGAAAGTTGCAGTGACGGATGTTCCAAAGGTATGCTGTTGAATTTCGAGGCAGGTGGTGCGATATAGTCGTTGAAGTTGAAAAATAGAAGTGGTGGTGTGTTGAAGAAAAAACCAAGGTAATCTCATTCCGACTTTTGCTTTGGACTTTCAGGGCAAGCCACGCTTCTCCAAACGGTTTCTTGCATATTGTAGGGATGCATGTAGGGAACACAAAACCATGTTTCATTTTCGCTGAACGGTTTTAGCAGTACCAAAAAAGAAGCATAAGGTACTGTTAATGGTTCGATCCCCGTGGCGACTAAATTTTGCATTTGGGTTGGCGCCTATGGATTGGTGCCAAATTGCGCTAAATCAAAATCAGATGTCGTATTCATCGTCAGGGCCATTTTGAAGCCAACAAGTGGCCGCCAACCTTGATTGCAAAATTTAGACGGGGAGTCGCGCGAGGGGCCGACAGCAAGGGTATCATTCATCACTTTTTTGGTACTACTAAAACCGTTCAGCGGAAAAAAAAACATGGTTTTGTGGTCATTACATTGCGTCCCTACAGTATGCCAGAAACCGTTTCCAAAAAGCTCGGCTTGCCCTGAAAGACCCCCCTTGTAAGTCTGTCGAAAACGTGATTTTTCAGTTTCGTCTGTTTTACCTCTTTCCTCTTATCGCTAAATTCTATTCTAATCGAGTAATAGTACCGTAGCCCTTAAAACAACCCCCTCATTCTCGGGTCAAGCATTCTATTGCCCGTCTCCAGAACCCCGTTTGGATTGTATTGGAATTCGAAACTTCAAGTACGACCCCACTCAAAGCCGCAAACGGTCCCGGCTGATCGAGTCAACCTGCGGGTGAAGCCTTGCTAGAATGCTATGAGTGTGCAATCAGCAACGAAAGCAGCGAGACTCTATTCCTTAAATGCACGGATCGGGATCGAATTAAGGTGTTATTATGTTCACAATTCAGACAGGAAGTGAATTGAGGAACGCTAATGGGGGGAAGGGGAAGCAAAAAGCACCATAGAGAGCCCTGAATTTCCAATGTTTATGTCGGGCGTTGTATGACACAAGTATGTATGCTATATCGGGGACGCCCTTTTTCTCAGAGAGACTAGCTCTGACGGCCTAGTTTCCGACCCGTGACCTTGAAGGATTCCACGTTAGGCGGTGTGGTCGAAGAAAGGGAATCACATCTCGTCGAAAGGCAGACGGACTTCTTATGGTTGTGGGACGATGTGTGTTTCGCAGTGAAGGGTACGCTTCAGTGGCCTAGCAGGGCCATATCCGCGCCGCTGCCCGCCCACCTCTCGTCATCTGATCTAGCCATTCATCAGAGTGAGCGTTAGTGTTGCAGAGGACAGCACCGAGAGTCGCATCAATGTGGAGAACAAGGGCCAAAGGGTGGTCCATTTTTTGGGTTCTTGGCCATTTCTCATGGTTTTTCGTCATCTCGGCACCAGTGACCACCTTTACCTCAGTTTAGTGAGCTGCCTTCTCAGCATAAACTCCGCCTTCAAAGAGTTAGCTTCCTTTTAAAGTAGTCATATTTTCCCTTTCTTCAACATTCAATTTCTTACCATCTGACTTTAATCAAGGGCAAGTGGTAGAGTTTACACCTTGGTTTGGTATCGCATACGACTTCCTTCAATTATTAGAGGGGTTGAAGTGGGAGAGTATCTTGCGTAGTACTTACGAGGGCCAGTCCAGATGGTATTCATGACTTTTCGCTCATAGATCTTATGGAAACTTTCGAGTCAACCAAGGCGTGGATGGCTTGATTGGGCACGAAGGGTTTTGTCCTTGTGGAACAGTGGACGTCTCTCAAATATGCCATTTTCTTCCATGAGTGATCTAACAAAATATTTGGATGGTTTCAATTGTTTTAACGAAAGCGAGGCATTTTTAAGGGCACGTTGAACTTCGCTGCGCAGTTGGTTGAAGATGGGCCAAAACTGGAGAAGATGACGGCGGACTTCCGTGAGTACCTCCATCAGCATCCACCCATGACTGGTTCATTCAACGCCAAAGTAAGCATTTTCTTGTTGCGATCTCGGCAGATTTGGAGGTTTATCGACATAATTAACAACAAAAAACAACGTCTCAAGATATATGAGTGCCATGTAAATTCGAATGTTTCAGCGTGGTGACTTGTGTGCGGCACCGTTTTCTGTTGATGGTTTGTGGTATCGCGCTAAAGTCGAAAGCATTCGATCTGGCCAGGCAGAGGTTCTATTCGTTGATTATGGAAATGTAAGTGTTACTGTCAGGCAACATTCTAATAATTTGTGTAGAGG